TTTGGAGACATTATCTATATGGCGTGTCATATGAGGAGTTCATGGATCACAAGAGTCTACAGTACTTATTCAAGTAGAAGGAGCTAAATTTGAGGCAGAGAAGGTGGTTGGAGCTGTTGAAAGACTATGATATCATCATCTTATATCATTCGGGTAAGGCCAATGTGGTGGCTGATGCTTTGAGTAGGAAGTCAACCAGTATGGGTAGTCTTGCGTATATTCCGGTCGGTAAGAGACCGCTTGCTTTGGATGTTCAGGCTTTGGCCAATCAGTTTGTGAGGTTGGATGTTTCCGAGCCCAGCTGTGTGCTGGCTTGCACAGTCACTCGTTCTTCTTTATTGGAGCGTATCCGAGATCGGCAATATGATGATCATCATTTGTGTGCCCTTAGGGACACGGTGCAGCATGCAGGTGCCAAGCAGGTTACCTTAGGAGATCATAGTTGTGTGCCTAATATGGATGGGCTCCGGGTGTTGATTTTAGAGGAGGCCCATAGTTCCCGGTACTCTATTCACCCGGGCACCGCTAAGATGTATCAGGATTTGCGACAACATTATTGGTGGAGGAGAATGAAGGACATTGTTGCATATGTGGCTCGGTGTTTGAATTGTCAGCATGTTAAGTACGAGCATCAGAGGCCTAGTGGTTTATTCCAGAAGTTTGAGATTCCTGAGTGAAAGTGGGAGCGTATCACTATGGACTTCGTTATTGGACTCCCACGGACTCAGAGAAAGTTCGATGCAGTGTGGGTCATTATTGATAGGCTGACCAAGTCAGCACATTTCATTCTGGTAGCAGTCTCCTATTCTTCTGAGAGGTTAGCTGAGATCTATATCCGGGAGATTGTTCGTCTTCATGGTGTGCCCGCGTCTATCATTTCGGACCGAGTTACGCAGCTTACCTCACATTTCTGGAGGCCAGTTTAGTAGGAGTTGGGCACACGGGTGGAGTTGAGCACAGCATTTCATCCTCAAACGGATGGGTAGTCCGAGCGCACTATTTAGATTTTAGAGGATATGCTTCGAGCTTGTGTCATTGACTTTGGAGGCTCGTGGGATCAGTTTTTGCCTCTAGCAGAGTTTGCCTACAACAACAGCTATCAGTCGAGTATCCAGATAGCTCCTCAGGAGGCTTTATATGGTAGGCGGTGTCGGTCGTAGATTGGATGGTTCGAGCCGGGAGAGACTCGGTTGTTGGGTACGGATCTGGTACAGGATGCGTTGGACAAGGTCAGGATCATTCAAGATAGGCTGGGTACAGCTCAGTCCAGGCAAAAACGTTATGCCGACCGCAAGGTTCATGATTTGGCATTCATGGTTGGTGAGCGGGTGTTACTTCGGGTGTCGCCTATGAAGGGCGTGATGAGATTTGGGAAGAGGGGCAAGCTTAGCCCTAGATTTATTGGCCCGTTTGAGATTCTTGATCGAGTGGGAGAGGTGACTTGCAGACTTGCATTTCCATCGAGCTTATCAGCTGTGCATCCAGTGTTTCATGTGTCCATGCTTTGGAAGTATCACGACGATCCATCCCACGTGCTAGATTTTAGCACTGTCCAATTGGACAAGGAGTTGTCCTATGAGGAGGAGCCAGTAGCTATTCTAGACCGGCATGTTCGTCAGTTGAGATCGAAGAAATTCCCTTCTATTCGTGTTCAGTGGAGAGGTCAGCCTGCTAAGGCATCGACCTAGGAGTCTGAGTCTGATATGCGGAGCTGTTATCACCATCTTTTCCCCGACTCAGTTACTTCCTTCTTATGTCCGTTCGAGGACGAGCGGTTGTTTTAGAGGTGGAGGATGTGATGACCCGAAAGGTCATCACTTGTTTTAGCAACAAATTCAGTGTTCCGAGGACTTAAAATCTCCTTTCTACCTCACCTTGATTTACGTGCGTGGTCCGGACCTATATTCGGAAAGCCTTTTATGTGAAAATATGAGAAATAGAAATTCTAGAGTTAAAATTTTATTATGGTTGACTTTGGTCAACATTTTGAGCAAACGGACTCGGATCCGTGTTTCGACGATCCCGGGAGGTCCACAGTAAAATATGAGACTTGGTAGTATGCCCGGAAATGAATTCCGAGGTCCCAAGCCTTAGAAATAAGTTTTTGAAAGAAATTGTTTTGTTGAATTATTTATGAAATAAAGAAAAGAATTAATGTTTGAAACCATTGGTATCGGGCCCGTATTTTGGTTCCAGAGCCCGGTACAAACTTGTTAAAGTATTTAAATGATAAATGTTAAATTTGGTGAAATATGGAGTTTATTTGACGTGATTTGGACCTGCGGTCGAAGAGTTATGAACTTTAAAGTGTTTTTGATGAAAATGACGAGTTTTGAGATTTAATTCATAGTTTTACATGTTATTTTCATGATTTGATTGCACGAGCAAGTCTGGATGATGTTTTTAGGTTGGTGTGTATGTTTGGTTTGGAGCCCCGAGGGCTCGGGTGAGTTTTGGATAGGCCACAGAGTGGAATTAAACTTAGGATGTTGTAGGTTTTTAGCTGATATATTGCAGGTCGGCAGGCTTCGCAAATGCGAAGTTTCATCGCAAATGCGAAGACGACCTGTGCTTCCTTGGGTTGCAAATGTGACGAGTTTATCGCAAAAGCGATATCACAAATGTGAATGTCCCTTCGCAAATGCGAAAATGCCCTAAACTCCCAGTCGTCGCAAATGCGACAATTCCATCGCAAAAGCGAGTTCGCAATTGCGAACATTAATCCCAAATGCAAAGTTAGCTGTCTGAGAGGTTCGCAATTGCGACACCCAACCTGCAAAATTATAACTTAGATGCATTTCAACCATTTTTCAAACCCTTTCAAAACCAAAACACTCTTGAGCAATTTTTCAAAGACAAGTAGCCTTCCAAATCGATTGTAAGTCATTTCTAACTTGTTTTTATTAGTCTTTAACATCATTTCTCATAGTTTCAACTCAAATCAAAGGTTTTCATGGGGGAAATTGGGAATTTTGGGTAGAACCTAGGTTTTTCAAATTTTGGAGATTTAGACCTTGATTTGAGGTCTGATTTTAAAACAAATTAATATTTTGGTTCATGGGGGAATGGGTAATCGAGTTTTGGTTAGAACCTTGGATTTTGACCATGTGGGCCCGGGGCGATTTTTTACTTTTTGGGAAAAACTTTAGAAAACCTATTTTCATGCATTGAAATTGATTCATTTAGCATTTATTGATATAATTAAGTAACCTTTGGCTAGATACGAGCGAATTGGTGGTGGAATCAAGAGGTAAAGCGATAGTTGAGACTTGAATTATGTTCGTGACATCGAGGTAAGTGTTTGGTCTAACCTTAGCTTGAGGGATTAGGAGCTGTGTCCTATTTGCTATGTGTTATTTGTTGAGTACGACGTATAGGCATGATGACGAGTATCTATACATTGGTGTCAAGCATGCCCGTGAGTCTTATATTATTATTATCATGACTCTGTTTTGTATTGTTCATGCCTTTGTGATGATTTCTATTGTTGAGCAAAGCTTGTGGAAGTAGTATTGGTAATTGAATATTGAGGAGTGTTGACTCAAGTTGTAAAACGAATTGTGGAAGTAAAATTGGTAATGGAACCTTATAGAGCATTGGCTCAAGTTGTGTAGTGAGTTGTGAAGTAAATATAAAAAAGTGAAGAGGATTATTATATTGTCTCCCTTGCCGGGATGTTGTTGCCTTTAATGTTATCTCCCTTGCCGGGATGTTAATGTTCTTAATGTTGTTCCCTTGCCGGGATATGATTGTTGTACTATTGTCCCTTGCCGAGATTTTATTATGATTTCATTTATTTTCTTGCCCTTATTTCTTGTGATTGTTGATTGGGTGAGGACGAGTGTTAAAGCACGAAGGGCGATGTCGTACATTGTTTTGGTGAGAGAGTATTAAAGCACAAAGGGTGATGCCGTGTATGATTTTGTGAGGAAGTGTGTAAAAGCACGAAGGGTGATGCTTTGTCGCACGATGTACAATTCCATGCCGATTATATTGATTTTATGGTGAGGACGAGAGTAAAAGCACGAATGGTGATGCCATGCCGATTATATTGATTCTTATGGTGAGGACGAGAGTAAAAGCACGAAGGGTGATGTCGTGCACTTGTTTGATTTTTGATTCTTGTTGATAATTGAGTTATGGTGTTCCTTGTAATTACCTGTTGTCCTTCTATTATCATTTGATGTTCCCCGCAACATGTTTTTCCCTCCCATTCTTAACTGTACGCTCCTGCTTTTATTTTTTCGCTGTATATGAATTAATTGCACAGATTTATTTGGTAGTATGGTCCTAGCCTCGTCACTACTTTGCCGAGGTTAGGCTAGGCACTTACCAATACATGGGGTCGGCTGTGCTGATACTACACTCTGCACTATGTGCAGATCCCAGCGCAGTAGTTGTTGGACCTTAGCTTTGGGGTGGTTTCCTTCAGTCCATACAGAGATCCAAGGTAGTCATGCAGGCGTCCGCAGGCCCTAGCGTCTCTCTCTATCATTTCATCCTGTTTCATTTTCGTATTTCAGAAACAATGTTGTATTAATTTTTAAGACCTTGTTTGTAGTATTTCTAGATCGTCTGTGAAGTTGTGACACCAATTCTGGGCAATCCTTGTTTAAGAAATTGTATTGGAAATATTTAAATGGTTTTATTTGTTTTCTTCCGCTTGTTTAAATTTTGCTGTTTATAAATTGTTGGTTTATAATTATTAAAGGATTAAAAATGGGAAAAAGGTAAATTGTTCAACGGTTGGCTTGCCTAGCTTTCACCAATAGGTGCCATCACGACTCCCGATGATGAAAAAATCGGGTCATGACATAAGTGCAACCCTCTCGAAATACTCTTTTGCCTGCAATGAGTGCTACCAATTTACAACTAATAAATCCTATACAACCTTTTAGATAGAGGCTATAACATGAATCAAACTAATAAAGATTAAACATAAAACTTAGTAAGAATAACATGTGATATAATATGAGTGACAAATGACATGAAAATGAACAAACCATCAAACTATGGACTTTGTAGCGTGAAAAGCTAGAAAATCCATGTATACAGAAAAAGAGATAGTTTACTGTATTATGTATATCGCACATCGGGAACCCAAAATCAAAAGTAGAAAAGATCTTTCTGCATCCAGAAAATAATGCAATAAAAGAATATAAACCATATATACCTTAGTGTAGTTATTGTTTTCAATCCATATATAGCCCTTGACATAAAGATAACCAAACAATTGCAAGCAGAATAAAGTTGTTGCAAGAGTAAGTCACTCTCTATTTGCTTAGTAAAGTTCCTTACTCCGTCATGATATCATATTTACTGATCGGATTTAGGCCGTCTCTGGATGTTGGTAACAATGTCGGCATATTTTCAAATATTTGCCTTAGAGAAGGATATCCAATTTGGACCTACGATAGTCTGAAAATCTTCTCAGTTAACCTTGAAGACACATATTGTAGGTGGAATAAATTTATTCCGGGAGATGATGGCCTAATGATGAGTCTGGAAGATGGCATTATAAACTATTTATCTGCAACAATGTAACTCAAAAGTCATAAATGCAATAACGTATATACTATCTTCAAATATTTGCCTTAGAGAAGGATATCCAATTTGCACCTACGATAGTCTGAAAATCTTCTCACTTAAACCTTGAAAACACATATTGTAGGTGGAATAAATTTATTCCAGGAGATGATGGCCTAATGATGAGTCTGGAATATGGCATTATAAACTATTTATCTGCAAAAATGTAACTCAAAAGTCATAAATGCAATAACGTATATATTATCTTCAAATATTTGTCTTAGCGAAGGATATCCAATTTGCACCTACGATAGTCTGAAAATCTTGAAAGTTAACCTTGAAGACGCATATTGTAGGTGGAATAAATTTATTCTGGGAGATGATAGCCTAATGATGAATCTGGATGATGGTATTATAAAGTATCTATCTGCAACAATGTAACTCAAAAGTCGTAAATGCAATAACGCATATACTAACTTCAAATGTTTGTCTTAGAGAAGGATATTCAATTTGTACCTATGATAGTCTGAAAATCTTCTCACTTAAACCTTGAAGACACATATTGTAGGTGGAATAAATTTATTTCGGGAGATGATGGCCTAATGATAAGTTTGGAAGATGGCATTATAAACTATTTATCTGCAACAATGTAATTCAAAAGTCATAAATGCAATAATGTATATACTATCTTTACGTACACAAATATATTTGAAGTCAAACTTTGAATTAATTATCAGGTAAAACTCCTTCAAAATATTTTGGCTCTTAGTTGTGCTTTTTATTTTTCAAATATTCAATCCGTAACATAAAATCTATGGAGATTTCAAGTTCTTTAATTGTACCAGTTACAGTGATAAATGTAATGTTAATTGGGGAAAACTAAAAAAAATGTTAAATGTAGCATAAAAATTTACCTTGATAATTATTCATAGAAATTTGATGTGCAAGATATATTAGGAATCCTGTAAGATATAAGATAAGTTGTAATATGAACATATAATCACATGAAAAACTATACTAATCAATTTACGTTTAACTTGATCTCTATAAGAATCGACCATTATATAAACTACCATTTATGCTTTATTTAAATGTTAAATACCCAATAAAGGTAGAAACACATCATAATGCAGCAAACAAAATGTTAGAAGGAAAGATAAAAAATGCAGAATTGCTTGCATGTGATCTGCAATATAATTGTTTCTCGGTGATTACACAGTTTGCAGCACTTTTAAGTTTTATTCATTGAATAAGGTCATCATTTTCTGAATGCAAGCATAGACTACCTCATAAAGAAATAGTACCATGGTAATATTTTTATCCGTTGCATTACAACTTGCATGAATAAAGATAATTTAGTATACCAATAAAACTAATCTGTAACTTAGAATGTAACCCCCGGCAAAACGCAATGCAGTAATTGTATAGTATGAAGTCATCATCACAGAGTTCTCAGTTATTCATACAAATTTGATGCGCATGATATATAATTTTTTAATCCATTGTGGGAATATAATAAAAGATAAGTTGTAATATGAACGTCTAAGCACATGGAAAACTACACTAATCAGTTTATATTTTAACTTGAACCTTATAAGAACCGAGCATCATATAAATTACCTTTATGCTTTATTTAATGTCAAATACCCAATAAAAGTAGAAACACGTCATAATTCAGCAAACAAAAAGTGAGGGGAAAAGACGGAAATTGGGAAGAGGAAACAATGTGTGGTTCAAGTTCTGATGAAGAGTAAGAGGGGTGTCTTTTGAAGGAAAAAACTGAGCACTTAGATATGGCCAAAAAGGTAAGATGTGAGAAAATTGAAAATAAATATCCTGATATTGACACTATTATTGGGGTAATTTCTTGTTTGATCCTTAGACTTCAGTTGTTGTGATAAATACATAGGTTGCTCTTCAAGCAGAACACAAAAGAGTAGAGCAGGACATACATAATTATATGAATATAGCAAGAATCTACATATAAGAGTAAGAGGGGTGTCTTTTGAAGGAAAAAACTGAGCACTTAGATATGGCCAAAAAGGTAAGATGTGAGAAAATTGAAAATAGATATCCTGCTATTGACACTATTATTGGGGTAATTTCTTTTTTGATCCTTAGACTTTGGTTGTTGTGATAAATACATATGTTGCTCTTCAAGCAGAACACAAAAGAGTAGAGCAGGACATACATAATTATATGAATATAGCAAGAATCTACATATAATAAAATGAAAATTAAGAAGGCATTACAATTTTGCTGGAAAAAGTATTTTCCTGATCATTACAATATTGCAGCTATGTTTAATGCATATGTTGCGACAAGCAAAGCATAACAGTGTAGAGAAGGAGGAAGTTGAACTACTATCCAATACCAATATTTGATGGTACGAATAAAAGCTAAGACAGTCTAAAACTTCATATCACTAAACTACATATAAATAACATTAGTCTGAAAATCTTCAAAGTTAACCTTGAAGACATATATTGTAGGTGAAATAAATTTATTCCGGGAGATGATGGCCTAATGATGAGTCTGGATGATGGTATTATAAAGTATCTATCTGCAACAATATAACTCAAAAGTCATAAATTCAATAACGTATATACTATCTTCAAATATTTGCCTTAGAGAAGGATATCCAATTTGCACTTACGATAGTCTGAAAATCTTCTCAGTTAAACCTTGATGTGATGATCCGAAAGTTGTCATCACTTGTTTTAGAAATAAATTTTGTATTATGAGGCCTTAAAACCTCTTTTTTACCTCACCTCGATTTGCGTGCGTGATCCGGACGTATATCCGGAAAGCTTTTATATGAAAATATGAGAAATAGAAATTTTTAGAGTTAAAATTTGATTATGGTTGACTTTGGTCAATATTTTGAGCAAACAGCCCCAGACCCATGTTCCGAAATCTCGGGAGGTTCGTAATAAAATATGAGACTTGGGCGTATGCCCGGAAATGAATTCCGAGATCCCAAGCCTTAGAAATCAATTTTTCAAAGAAATTATTTTGCTGAATTATTTATGAAATAAAGAAAAGAATTAATGTTTGAAACCATTGGTGTCGGGCTCGTATTTTGGTTTCGGAGCCTAGTACAAACTTTTTAAAGTATTTAAATGATAACTGTGAAATTTGATGAAAAATGGAGTTTATTTGACGTGATTTGGACCTCCGGTTGAAGAATTATGAGCTTTAAGTGTTCTTGATGAAAATGATGAATTTTGAGGTTTAATTCATAGTTTTACATGTTATTTTCATGGTTTAATTGTGCTAGAAAGCTCGTATGATGTTTTGGGTTAGTGTACATGTTTGGTTTGGAGCCCCGAGTGCTCGGGTGAGTTTTGGATAGGCCTCGGAGTGAAATTTAAACTTAGGAAGTTGCAGGTTTTTAGTCGGTATGTTGCAGGTCTGTAGGCTTTGCATTTGCAAATCCTGGCTCGTAAATATGAGATCGCAAATGCGAATAACCTATTGCAAATGCGAGAGAAGGCCTGGGCAGGGCTGATCGCAAATACGATCATTTCTTCGCAAATGCGAAGAGGCCCAGAAATCCCCCTTAGTCGCAAATGCGAGTTCGCAATTGCGAACAGTGGTCGCAAATGCGAGTGTAACAGGTCCTGAAGGGTTCGCAATTGCGAACCCTGGTCGCAATTGCGACATCTGCGACATGCAAATTCATGACTTAGCCAAAAATCTTTCATATTTCAAGCTCTTTCAAAACATAAACTCTTTTGGGCGATTTTTCAAAGACAAGTACTCTTCCAAATCGATTGTAAGTAGTTTCTAACTTGTTTTTATTAATCTTTAGCATCTTTTCTCACGATTTCATCTTAAAATCAAAGGTTTTCATGGGGGAATTGGGTGTTTTGGGCAGAACCTAGGTTTTTCAAATTTTGGAGATTTGGACCTCGATATGAGGTTCGATTTCAAAACAAATTATATATTTGAGTTCGTGAGAGAATGGATAATCGGGTTTTGGTTTGAACCTCGGGTTTTGACCATGTGGGTTCGGGGGCGATTTTTGACTTTTTGGGAAAAACTTTAGAAAACCTATTTTCATGCATTGGAATTGGTTCATTTAGCATTTATTGATATAGTTAAGTAACTTATGGCTAGATACGAGTGAATTGGTGGTGGAATCAAGAGGTAAAGCGATAGTTGAGACTTGAATTGTGTTCGTGGCATCGAGGTAAGGGTTTGGTCTAACCTTAGCTTGAGGGATTAAGAGTTGTGTCCTATTTGCTATGTGTTATTTGTTGAGTACGATGTATGGTGATGAGTATATATATGGTAGTGTCAAGCATGCCCGTGAGTCTTATATAATGATTATTATGACTCTATTTAAATTGTTTATGCCTTTTGTGATGATTTCTATTGTTGAGCAAAGCTTGTGGAAGTAGTATTGGTAAGTGAATATTGAGGAGTGTTGGCTCAAGTTGTAAAACGAATTGTGGAAGTAAAATTTGTAATTGAACCTTATAGAGCATTGGCTCAAGTTGTGTAGTGAGTTGTAAAGTAAATGTGATAAAGAGAAAAGGATTATTATATTATCTCCCTTGCCGGGATGTTGTTGCTTTTAATGCTATCTGCCTTGCCGGGATGTTGATGTTCTTGATATTGTTCCCTTGTCGGGATATGATTGTTGTACTATTGTTCTCTTGCCGGGATTTTATTATGATTTCATTTATTTCCTTGCCCTTATTTCTTGTGATTGTTGATTTAGTGTGGAAGAGTGTTAAAGCACGAAGGGTGATGCCGTGCATTGTTTTGGTAAGAGAGTGTTAAAGCACGAATGGTGATGCCATATATGATTTTGTAATGAATAGTCTAAGAGCACGAAGGGTGATGCCGTGCCGCACAATGTGCAATTCTGTGCCGATTATATTGATTTTATGGTGAGGACGAGAGTAAAAGCACGAAGGGTGATGCCGTGCTGATTATATTGATTCTTATGGTGAGGACGAGAGTAAAAGCACGAAGGGTGATGTCGTGCACTTGTTTGATTTTTGATTCTTGTTGATAATTGAGTTATGGTGTTCCTTGTAATTACCTGATGTCCTTCTATTATTATTTGATATTTCGCGCAACATGTTTTCCCCTCCCATTCTTAACTGTACGCTCCTGCTTTTATTTTTTTACTGTATATGAATTATCTGCACAGATTTATTTGGTAGTCTGGTCCTAGCCTCATCACTACTTCGCCGAGGTTAGGGTAGGCACTTAAAAGCACATGGGGTCGGTTGTGCTGATACTACACTCTGCACTGTGTGCAGATCCCAGTGCAGCAACTGTTGGACCTTAGCTTGGGGTTGCTGCCTTCAGTCCATTCAAAGATCCAAGTCATCCTGTTTTATTTACTTATTTCAAAAACAGTGTTGTATTTATTTTTTCAGACCTTATTTTTTGTATTCCTAGACCGTTTGTGAAGTTATGGCACTAGTTCTGGGTAGTATTTGTTTAAGAAATTGTAATGGAAATATTTAAATGATTTTATTTGTTTCTTTCGCTAGTTTAAATTTCGCTGTTATAAACTGTTGGTTCCTAATTGATTAAGGATTAAAAAATGGAAAAAAATAAATTGTTCAAACGGTAGGCTTGCCTAGCTTCCACTAGTCGGCGCCATTATGACTCCCGAGGGTGAAAAATCCGGGTCGTGTCACTTGAAGACATATATTGTAGGTGGAATAAATTTATTCCGGGAGATGATGGCCTAATGATGAGTTTGGAAGATGGCATTATAAACTATTTATCTGCAACATTGTAATTAAAAAGTCATAAATGTAATAGCGTATATACTATCTTTACGTAAGCAAATATATTTGAAGTCAATCTTTGAATTAATTATCGAGTAAAACTCCTTCAAAATATTTTGGCTCTTAGTTGTGCTTTTTATTTTTCAAATATTCAATCTGTAACATAAAATCTATGGAGATTCCAAGTTCTTTAATTGTACCAGTTACAGTGATAAATGCAATGTTAATTGGGGAAAACTAAAAAAAAAGTTAAAAGTAGCATAAAAATTTACCTTGACAATTATTCACAGAAATTTGATGTGCAAGATATATTAGGAATCCTGTAAGATATCAGATAAGTTGTAATATGAACATATAATCACATGAAAAATTATATTAATCAGTTTATATTTAGCTTGATCTCTATAAGAACCGATCATCATATAAACTACCATTTATGCTTTATTTAAATGTCAAACACCCAATAAAGATAGAAACACATCATAATGCAGCAAACAAAATGTTAGAAGGAAAGATGAAAATGCAGAATTGCTTGTAAGTGATCTGCAATATAATTGTTTCTCGGTGATTACACAGTTTGTAGCACTTTTAAGTTTTATCCATTGAATAAGGTCATTATTTTCTGAATGCAAGCATAGACTACCTCGTAAAGAAATAGTACCATGATAATATTTTTATCCGTTGCATTACAACTTGCATGAATAAAGATAATTTAGTATACCAATAAAACTAATCTGTAACTTAGAGTGTAACCCACAACAAAACTCATTGTAGTAATTGTATAGTATGAAGTCATCATCACAGAGTTCTCAGTTATTCGTAGAAATTTGATGCGCATGATGTATAATTTTTTAATCCATTGTGGGAATATGATAAAAGATAAGTTGTAATATGAACGTCTAAGCACATGGAAAACTACACTAATCAGTTTATATTTTAACTTGAACCCTATAAGAACCGAGCAAAATATAAATTATATTTGTGCTTTATTTAATGTCAAACACCAAATAAAAGTAGAAACACATCATAATTCAGCAAACAAAAAATGAGGGGAAAAGACAGGAATTGGAAAGAGGACACAACGTGTGGTTCAACTTCTGATGAAGAGTAAGAGGGGTGTCTTTTGAAGGAAGAGACTGAGCACTTAGATATGGCCAAAAAGGCAAGATGTGAGAAAATTAAAAATAAATATCCTGATATTGACACTATTATTGGGGTAATTTCTTTTTTTGATTCTTAGACTTCGATTGTTGTGATAAATACATATGTCGCTCTTCAAGCAAAACACAAAAGAGTAGAGCAGGACATAAATAATTATATGAATATAGCAAAAATTTACATATAATCAAATGAAAATTAAGAAGGCATTACAATTTTGCTGGAAAAAGTAGTTTTCTGATCATTACAATATTATAGCTATGTTTAATGCATATGTTGCTACAAGCAAAGCATAAAAGTGTAGAGAAGGAGAAAGTTGAACTACTATCCAATACCAATATTTGAGTGTACGATTAAAATCTAAGACATGCTAAAACTTCATATTACTAAACTACATATAAATAACATTTAAACTTATTATTGTTGAATGTGTGAGTCTTAGAGGAAAAGAACTAAAGTAACAGGGAATTGAACTACTATGCAATACTAAAATCTAATGGTACAATACAAATCTAGTACAATCTAAATTGCATAACACTAAACTATATATAAATAACATTTAAGGATAACATATAAAGTGTGTTAGAATCTTAACATAACGTTTACATCCTTAGTAATGATTTGGAAGAAACATTAGACTAGAATATTCACACCATTAGTTACGAATTGTGGAAAAGCATAATATTGAAGAGAAGCTTTGGACTGTACCTCAATCTCTTTACGACATTTTTGGCAGCCCAATCCTTGGTTGTCCACACCTATACAATAAGATTAGGACGTAAATAATTTTAGAAGATGCAAATATGTAAGAAAAGGGCATAAATTATACAGATTAACTTTGAAAGTATTACAAACCGTTGGCGAGAAATAGTTTTTTCCCATAGACATCGTTGGCGTGAAGGTAGCATTTGGTGACAAAAAATGTGGCGAGGGAAAAATGTGTAGAGGTTAGTAGATAAAGGGGATTTTTCCTTTCCCGTAAAAACATAAATAGAACAAAGAAGGTACAGAGGGTTGAGTAACGAATCTTTGTGGGAAGAGAAGAATCGTTGTGGCATGTGTGAAGAAACCGATTGTGAATGCGAAGCGGTGTGGCGTGAGGAGCCTTTTGTTGTGGGTGGTGAATTTTTAGGTTTTAAAGTGGTGAAGTTACTGGTTTTAAAAGTGAAAAAACGTAGAGGCAGAAAACACATTTTCGTGCCAAATGCGAGTGCCACGTAACCGGTCAAAGGCCCTCTATTATATAGATACATAGACAGATATACATAAATACTTTTAAAATATTGTATATGCATTTACAAACATGCACATGTGTTTTACAATTTTCTATAATTTTTCATGGCCCTAAATCCATTTATTTTTGCATTTTTAGTTACATAAATGTTCAAAACTATCCGTTATATTATTTTATGATGATCTAATCATCTAAATTCATCATTTATGATCATATGAGTGTTCAAATATTTTGATTATATTTTTTATAATTATATTTGCATGTTTAATACTATAATTGCATATTTTGCAAATATAGCCCCTACATAGGCATAACTACATTATCTATACAAAAATTAACTTTTTATATTTTTATAATATTGAATAATTATTTTAAATTACCTTCATGCTTGAAAATCATTTTTATCATTTTATTAGCTAATTTTAAAATTATTTTAATTAGTAAAATGGGTATTTAAATAATATCCCCTAATTTACACCCAAAATTGGACCCCCCCCCCCCCCC